TATATATATATATATATATATATATATATATATATATATATATATATATATATATATATAGTAAGGATTGTGGCGTCTAGGCTTATGCAATAAATCGCAGTGATCAGACAATGTACAGATCAGTGTTTTCCCCCACCAAGAAGAATTTGGAATCAAATAATCAAAACCTGAGGGATGGAAGGTTTGGTTGCCTGAACGATAATCCATGCGGAGTACGATCTCTGAACCATAAGTGTATGATAGTGCGCTACCTGTCACTACACCGCATTTGCCCAACTGTGAATATAGAAAAATTTCGCCCCTATAGAACTCGAACCATGGCCTTTTCACGTTAAGCGTAAGGCTTACCACTGCTCCACCGCTGAGAAACCTGGTACATCCATGCAATTTACGTTCGCTTATACTGAGCCTCACCTAAAATTACCTCATAATTCCATTCAGGGAGTCTTCGGCAAATTTGGAAAGCAGATTTGAGATCAGCATCCGAGAGCACCAGCAGTATGAGTCTCCACTTCCAAACGACCATTTCGACTTGGTACCCTTCCCTGGTGAATACCTGACAAGTTTCTGATGCTCCTTTTACTCTGACCGGTACAACATGCCGATAGGTCTCAGAGCACCTGGGTCAAGAAGTCCATATCCAAACGACCACGTCCAGAAGGGAGCTAAAGGGAACGAGGGGCGCGGGCGCGTAGAATGAGGAGCTTCGAGTAGAGATGTAGACAAGGACAACCCATCTAACCGCCCATCTTTTCAACTGTGTGGTTTTCGTCCCTTGACTTACTTTTCATGGACTTCAGGGACAACATGCGGCACTTTAGAGGCTATCTTCAGCAAGATGACTGAACAGTTAGTGTCATTCAATGCGCTATGGGAAGGTACATAGCACTCGGAGTTTCTGCTATGGTATCCAAGGCGAGCCGAATACATCTCTGATGTTGTGATTAAGGTTGAACCATCGCCATCATTCTCTGTGAACGTAAAAGAAAACCAGGACGTCACCCGCCTGTACGAACTCCCAGAAGGAAGAAATGGTTCTTCTGTTCCCCTTCAAGGGAGAAAAACCCACCGAACTGCATTAGCTGCGAAGGGACGATCGAAAACCTGATTGAAGCTCTCATAAGCAAGTCGATGATCAGCGAGACGACATCAGATACAGGTGATTCCAGATTCTTTCGAGGTTTTCAGATGAAACTCATAATTGATTCCATCGACTTAATGTTCCGACGTGGTCCCAGAGGTCAAGTCTCCACGTTGAACCAACAGGCAATAGAGGCAAGGTGACACACCGGCTGGTGGTGGCTGGCGCCGGGAAGAAAAACAAAGAAAATGCAACGAAAACACCAACAAAATATGGGAACGTAACCATAGATGACGGGTTAACGAATAGAAGGAAAAGAAGGCATAAGCGACATTTATTTATGCAAAGTTCAGATTAAATGTTTCCAGATTCCCAAAATGTTTCCAGGCTCCCACTAGCTGTGGCCTTTCGAATGACGCCAAATGGGGCGCAATAAAGGCACCACCAGTGACCAAACCTCGGGATAGCCGGTTTTAATGGAACTGTAGGGGTTCTGGAGATTTCGAGCGGCTAATCCTCCGAATCGCGCAATGGTTGTATTCATGACAGAGACGAGGACATTCGCGTCGGCTGAAAACGTTGATCGATATCGCGCAGGTTGATGACTCAAGCTGCATTTAACACCTTTTTACAACATTCAACGCCATTTAAAAGAAAGCTCACAGTCAAAGGCATCAGTACCCAGCATAGGTTACAGAGACGTTTATGTTGCGAAAAGTTAAAAGTTATCAACATCAACATTGACGTCACCATCAAGTAAAAACCGTAAAGAAGCATTCTGGATGAAGCAAAGCCGTACCCACCAAAAACTGCTGAAAAATTGAAAGGAAGCCCGTCACCAGTCATATGCGAAAAAAGGAAGACAAACACTTATTTTTGATGTTCGAAAATTAATTTAATTCGGCAACAGCCACCAACTGGTGGAGTATCGATCGACTGCCGAAGCCGGCGTCAGCGTTCTGCGCCAAAGCCAGCGCTGCCGTCGGTACCATGGATGCAACAGCCTTGACAAATGCGGATACTGGAGAGAAATCTCTGTCAATAGGAATGTCTTAGCCAACCCTTTGACCATGGGGGACGGTACGAACGTGCGTCCGAGGACGCGCGCGGCAACTTGCGCGGCGAAAGTCGTGACGATTTGTATGACTCTGACGCCAATTTTCGGGGCACAAACTCTAAGTAGGGTAGTTTATTAGGGTCAGATGATCCTTCCAATCTATTCTACTTCAAACTTGGGCCCCAATGATAGGCGCTAAAGCCGTTCAAATAGTTACGAACTTCGCCGCGCAATTGGCCGCGCGCATCCTCGGACGCACGTTCGTACACATACCCTTTGACCATTGCACCTTTTCTCTGCACCGACTGAAATCTATTCCAGATACCCATTTCGTCGTCAGAATCTAAGACACAATCCAGTTTTTTTTTTCTAGATATTAAGGCTGAGTTCCATCGCGATACCTCAACATGACATGTGCTACTTCGCTAAAGATAAAAGCAGTACTTTGAAATGTTAAAACGCTCGAGCTCACATGTATCAGGGCACCCTGGTGATAATTCGGGCTATTGCACCACAAATTCTCTCGGAGTACAAAATCTATCTTGTGCCATAGACATAATATCATCCAACCCTCAGACTTAAATAGTTCCAAGAAGCTTGTATTTCGCAAATTCCGCAAGTTTTCTTCGTCACCACCAATACACTGTTCTGCCCTAATGCGTCCGTTCACTGAGTTATAAAGGGTATTCAAAATATCGGGAACTGTGCCTATGGGCGCACATCTTTCACATGGAAACCGAAGGCTCCTATAGCTTTGGTAGTTCGGCACATTCCTTCAAGGTGGACAGATTGCGCAGAACTACTGAAACTATACCTGATTGGAATGATAACGGATTGGGATTGGTATATCGGTATTTCAAGGCACAGTTCCCGATGATTTTGGGGTAATCCAGATTATGAGGAAAATGGAATGGATATGATGGGAAATAGTGCGATGATGGCGAAAAAACTGCGTGAATCGGTGTTTCCAAAGTAAAAAAAAGATTTCAATCATTAAAAAGGGGGTGGATGAGAATGAAACCAGGAAAATGAAGAAGAATGGGGGTTTCGGACAAGCTATACGTTGTGTGCCAATGCGTACGTACGGGTCCTGGTGGGAATAGCTGATTACGGTAAACAGAAATTCATTTACCCATAAGCATAAGTTAACAAAAAACCCTAGTAACAGCAAAAATAGCCCATCTTTTTCAGTTTCTTTGTGTAGAAAATTAAATCAAGGATTGCAGCAAAAACAGTAAAAGGGAATAAAAGAATAGGAGAACAAGTGTGGGTCCTGGAACGAATATTGCAATCTGTATCGCCATGACACTCGTCTGACGTAACATCAATTGAGGGGCGGGAAGTCCGGGCGATTCGGTGACCGGGTTCTTACTGTACCCTAACTGTTTACTTTCGGGACTCGACAGCGTCCTTCCTGTCACCCTTGGGGGCCACTGGGTATTTCTATAGAGAGACGTCAGAAACCATTTTTATCATGAACTGTGCACCAATTAAAGAAGTGAACAAGAAAGAATAACAATTCCTCCTACCAAGTGCCACATCAATCGATTCAAAGAGAATAGCGCGAAGAATGGGTTCCCTCCAGAATTGGCTCAAGGGAGCGCAGAGTGTTATAAATGCAGTATGACAGAGTAATCATGAAATAAACCAATTCTGATAACATGGTTTCTGAGGGGATTACACAGTTCGAAACATTCAACACATTACGCGAAACTAGTTTTCGGGCCATTAGATCTACTCCGCACCCCATCCCCTCTTGTTCCGAAGTTCCAGGCATTCTCACGATCTTAATGAATAGTACGGATGTTGCGGAAGACTGAATTCATAAGGTCATTTTTTCTGTAAAATTAAACGACTGTGGGTTGATGTGCTTCACCAGAATCGGTGTGTAAAATGATAATACAAAGTATGGTAAAAATTGTGTTTATCTAAAATCACTAAATATTAAACTTAGGTGATGATGGATAAGCGCGGAAGTACATTCCTATCGTACAACAAAAAAATTCACGGAAGCGCCGACGCTGAATAAGCCGGAAAAGTGCTTGAGGTTAGTTATAACTTTTATAACGTTTCCCCGGGGTCCATCAATTTCAAGGCATGAGATAGATAATGTAAAGGACTTCCAATGGAATAGAGCCTGTACAGCGCTGCGGTTGAATGTTTTCCGTGCGTTTCCTTTCCGTGCAGATGTCGAACGAATATGGACAACAGCTAATTAACTTGAAAGTTTGTTCAAAACCGAATCGAACTCGAAAATCGAATAGTGCAGTGTTAAGACAAATTAGTCGCTACTTTGCTAGATTACCGCTGTCAGCATATCGCTAGTCTAGATTAAGCTGGTGCTAAGTAGAGGTTTTCTTGGTCACGGGTTCGCTGCGATTTGGAACTGTGCTAACATATCATGAATTAAAAAAAAGAATCAAAGCAAATAGTGTTCAACCATGAATTACATCATTTTAATTACTGCGAAGTTTCACAGCAGAGTAAACAAAGTTTCAGAAACATTGAAAGCAATGAGTAAAAAGTGACATGATGTTGGCCAACATGAAGTGAACAACAGATGAGTTCACTAATTCAAAATAAAAACAGTCGCAAAAGAAGCATAACGTCAAAAGTAATAAAAGCACCTGCAAACCAGAATACCGGTTTTCTTGAAGAAGTCCCGAATTTTCGCACTTAGCACATGACCAGGCGACTTCATTGAAGGCGATCGAAGGATAGCGTGGTCAGAGATGAGCGTCTACGACCGCCTCTTTCTGTTGCTAGCGGCCCATGTCAATGAGGCAAGAACGAGATGAAGCAGCGTCAATCCCGGAGCTGGTAAGCTAGAATTACTGATTTCAATTGAAGTTTTTGCGGGAGCTTGCAAAGAACCCAGATATGCCGAACTACTAACTATATTAGATATACCTATGCGAGCCATTTACATTCTGCAAATTTTCACAATCTACCTTCAGCATTTACAGAATATAGAGAATACGCGAACGAGATAGCGACCTAACCACGACCTTCGAAATTCTTTTGAGATTGACAACTGAGAAGCTTTACGAATCTTAACATTTGTCACAATTTTTGGTTGATAATTCTTCAAAGAGCATGCTGTCATAAATAAGAAAAGAAATTAACGCCTATCACAGTTACACCTCACACCAGCATTTTAGATATGGCGATAATAATTTGTAGGTTAATATGCAAGTGCATGGATGGAGATCAATGCACCTTCATCCTCCGTTCTTTGGGTTGATCTTCGTGCTCTTCCTCCAAGTGTGTTCTGTGTTTATGATTGTCCAGTGTGCTGTGTTCATGATTGTCCATGATAAGGAAGAAAAGTGTTCAGAAACTAAACCTGCGTCAACTGCGTTTGTGAACAGAGACTTTCGCGAAAGGCTCCTGCGATGCATCGGTGGTATACATGAAGCTCAAAAGAAAACGCGGATCCATTCAACTAATAGTGGTATGCTGGAACAGCAGAATTTTTCGGAAGATTGATGAAGATCAATCTCTATTTTTCTATCCTATCTATTTCATCCTTTTTGGTCAAAGCACCTGAATGGTGATGTACTCTTCGTAGCAACTATACTACGGCGAAGCGATTGGGGCCTGGGCAGTATTCACATGTCTTTGCTATCTCCACCGAATACTGCAAAAATGTAGAAACTTGCTAAAGAAACTTAATCTCGAACGAGAACACTCGTCAAACCCACTCTTGGCGATTGTCTTCATAGATACACACAAAGCGCAAGAAACGACAAGCCTTTTCGCGAACGTCGACTACGACTAAACCCCGTTTTGGATGATCTTACATGATTAATTCCACACTTAAGCTGTATAAAATCATTCACTTAGTATTTGGTGCAGTGCCAATACAATCTGCTTCTGTCACATAACGAGATGAAGGAGAATATGATCCCAAATAAGAAGGAAATATATTCCCCACATTTCTTACCTGCTAAATACAAGAGATTGATTACTGAAAAATTCATTGGATTGGGAGTGAAAGAAATTTCGATTGGGGTTAATTAAGCAGTGAGTGGAAACTGGTGCTAGCTAAGTGCTGCATTGGTACATACGGTAAGTGGTCAGAAATTCTGCTTTCATTCATCATTCTTCCCCTTTACCAATGTGGTAGAGCCACCCATCAATGTATTACAATGAATAAATAAACTCTTCATGTGACGATGGGTTGAAAAGCGGTAAAGAATTGAGAAGTACTGTTTACATCAATGATTTTTTTGGTAGGTAGTCTGAAATTAGGTTGTTGTGCGTGCCATCACACACTTCATGATCTTTCTGGTATTCATACAAAATCACATCAATCTAAAGTTATACATGGTGGTTTCCGTTATTCAAATCATTCCCGTACAATTACATAGATCAGTTTTCATGTATCCAAGGGACTAGCCATAATATGATAAGATATGCAAGAAAACAGCGCGCACCTAGCCATAAACCTGAATGCGCTAGAGATCCTGGTTATGTGCTGGCCGTTGTCGACGGCCGTTAGCGTAGTCTCGAAAACGAGTATGTGACTCAGCTAGCATAGAGAAGTGACGACCAGACAGTTCGCATTGATGGAAGCAACAATTTCAGAAATTCTTGATATTCTCAGTGACTAGAAAAGCAGAGACCAGAAATATGAGCGGCATGTTCTAAAAAAAACTGCAAGACAGTTCAGCATGAATAAAAACGCAATCAGATTTCATTCAGGTCGATACAGAAGAGCGCAAAATTTATTCAAAAATGAATTGCCATTAAGCCTTTACACCTAGACTGCTCGAAATCACTGCATTCAAGTGATCAAGTGTCCGTCGCCCTGCAGAATTCATTTATCCAATCAAAGCCATCAAAAGTCCCCATGAAATCTAATGAAGAGTTTGATATTTTTTGCAATTATCGGTCCTATTTCTCAATCTTGACTGCACTCTCAGCTGAATGATGGGTCATAGAAAAAGAAATGTGAGTAAAGAAAAAGATAGTTTAATATCGAAGAAGAAAACAAGATAACACTTTTAGTTGGTAGAAATCAAAATACTAACAATATGTTTCTTTGTATGCATATATCTGCATACAAATTAACATATACATAGACATATATGATGTAAGCAAGTGAGCTTTGGATATGAAATATATAACGATAGGTAAAAGGAGCGACAAGGGTTCTTTATATGTAGTACATTCATAGTACCGGTAGTGAGAATTTGCCCAATGCGTCCAAGTCACTACTCTTACTTGCCGCGAACACCTCCCCGAAATGAAACGCTTCTATCAATTACATAACCGCTAAGATAATCGTAAAAGCTCGTCTTTTAAAAAAAAACGAACATCTATTGCTCAGTATTTAGCCCTTTTGTCTTGCCGAAGGATGCATAATACTGTGTCCTCACATCTAGTTTACATATTGCCTATGAATTCCGATCACTTTGTGAACCTCTAATGGCTGATTTCAATTATTAACTTTCACCAAAAAGTGTATGGAAAGAGCCACTACTAAAGAATCGGAAATAATGGAAATATACTATTCGGCCCTTTGCGTCAAGTGAAACCACTGAAATAGTGCTGTCGTAAAATTGTGGGGAGGGGGTAAAAGGTAAGTGGACGATTCTCACATTCTCACTGCATGATTCCTGGATATTGCAAATCCAAATAGAATTTGAAAGCAAGAACTGAACGGAATACTAACAAAAGACATCGAACTAAACAGAGTGCAATGCATCTGTAATACCGACCAACTGTATAAATGAGAGACTTACGAAGCAAAGAGCCAATATAAAATGATGATCGAGTTCTCGTTAGTCCTTTCAGATGAATGTGCTAAAATACACCTGAAATTGTGTTTAACACATAAACCAACAAAATTATCCATATGCACGGAAATAAAACAGCCTATATAACCAATCAACTTTGCCTTTTCGAAAAAGCGTGCAGATGTAGCAGGTCCCACCAAGCCACTGGTCCAACTATCTGCCACATCCGGCTGCCAATATCCACCATAATCATACTGGAAGGGGTATTGCTAAACCAATCGTGTAATGACGACTGTATTGTTCTTTTTTTAATAGAAACAATGAGCAGCCTCACACTACACTCTCGCACCGAGTTGAAAATGAAGTCAAACGATTCCATCTGCACTCCTGGTTGATACAATTGCCCAGACTGATCTGGCACTATACAACCCATTTCCTGTAGATAAAGCCAGAAAACTACATATATTACAAAACAGAGCAGTTGATTCATTGCTTCTTTTGCTTCGTTTATTTAAACAACTAGGAACATTTGTTTTCATTGATATCCTAGTGACAATAATCAGCGTTAGATCGCTACCAGTAGGGCCACACACGCTAACGCGTGGACCACATGCCCGCTACCACTTACCTACGACTTGTTAGAGGACTTGTTAGAGACAAACGGTATCGGTTGACTCCCCATTCATAACATTTCCTCACCGCGCTCACGTGACTTTCACACTCTTCGTCGTGCCTACGTGAATTTCGGAAGGACGCACAAACACAGGAACGAAAATTCAGTCCGGCACTCGGTTCTTACAGTAATCCGGCACGTGTTAATACGCATATTTTTGCCCGTCACATATACGACGCGTCGAAAAAAGGCTTTGTGCAAGGACACGGGGGTGGGTGTCGGGGTAAGCCAGGGGCTTACTGTAAGAGCCTAGTGCCGGACTGAATTTTCACTTTAGTCGCACAAACGGGCATACAGACACACAAAGTTACCGCCTTATATATAGAGATATAACTTTAACAATTAAGGTCAAGTTCAGGATTACTGAACAATCCTAACAGTTCAATTCTGCACACCAATTGACAAGTATTGGAGCGTAATTTTGCTCTTGCACACTATCGTGCTGTTTTCGGAGCTGAACGAATTTTATGTATTATCAAAACTGCGTTCATGAACTTGAGGCTGTGATCCAAAGGCCTTTACAGAAATGACGATTAGTGTTTGCAAACTAAAAACTCAAACTTATTCTGATTAATCGGCGCAATCTGTTTAGCAGTTTTTGAAATACAAATTCCTTATGATATGACTTGTAGTGTCTGTAATAAGGTGTTTACTTGAGAAACTGGTAAGTGGTTGCGCCGGATAATATTAAAATATTAAGAAAGCTGAGGCTCTCCATACATGGACAAAGGCACAGACCTGTTCAACTCAAAAGCAATATTACACAGAAGGTAAAAAAACCTAAAAACCCCATATTGAGGAAAACAAGTGGAGAAGAGGGTGCGACCGATGTTTGCTATGTGATCTCATCCAAAATAGTTGTGACAAAGGAGTATGGTTATCACCTTTACTTCAGTGAGCAGAAGTTGCCTGACACGTGTAAACAACATCAATATTACAAAAACTGTAACAATTGTCAGCAAGCGTGATAATCTGTCTTCCACTTCATGTTGTTCCCATTAACTGTTTTGAGCTGGACTCATAATCAAAGATATTTATTCTTGACCCACCACCTATGAGTGACAAACGGTCATACAACGTTTGGCATCTAACTAGCCTGATTTTCCATTACTTCGGTTAAAAGGAGCCAGTGAGCTAGTGAAAATTATTAAAGAGCAGTGGGTCACTGATACTTACCAATCCATCTGCCTCTCTTCCAGACACTGCCTGCCGTAACGCCGAAACCGTTATCAGCCTCTGATGCCGCCATTGAAACTTTTCGATCAGAATCGTGGGGAACCCCTAATTTGGGTTTGCATAAAAGCAAACGAAGACGGCCTGGTTTGTGACAGCGACCCAGCATTTGCTCTAAGTAGCCCTTGTAATACTAGCTGTACTCGCTAGCAAATTCTACACTTTAATTATCAGTAAAAAGGGATTCGCATAAAACATGAAATCGCCCAAATGAAATGTTTAGCATCATTGCCTTCAGTTTATAAGCAAAACGAAAGTATGTAAGGCAGAACCGAACCTTTTTTCTGAACCTCACAATTTCTTAACACTTGTGATGCAGACTGTGTTCATTTAACCAATTCCACTACAACTGCCACGAAAACCAGAAAACATCCAGAACTTGTCGACACAAGCGTGTACCAAGCAGATACCTGGTAATAGCTTTAGCAGATGAACCTATGGCTGCTTTCAAAGTTCACCGGTGTGCCTTCCGAACGCGCGTACGAGTGTGCGTCCGGGCGTGCGGGCAACCGATGATGTTGCTGGCTATGTGTTGACAACCCTGGACGCTGATGGATCACGTGCCAGTGTTGTCGACAAGTGGTTAGCGCCGCCGTCGGTCGGACGCCTGCTCGGAAGGCACACCGGTGAACTTTGAAAGCAGCCATTAGAGTGTGACCAATTTCCACGGTGTCAGGAAGAAGCGCAAGACCATAATGGATCAATAGAAGACCAGTTGGGATATCACCAAAAAGACCTACCGACTGGTTAGTTTATTTGAGGACTCTTTGGAACAATAATGACAAAGGCTCCCATTTCCCGTCGACAAAAGTTTTTGCCAACAAAAGTCGGTGATTCTTTACCAAAACCTAGTAGGTTGCAGATACATCCAATCGGTTCATAAACATGATTGCGAAAACATTACACACCTCTTTAGGGACGCAAGACATTCAGATGAAATTTCATGGACAAAATGTTGATTTTGCGACATAAGCTTATTTCAATCTCTAGCTAAGCAACACTCATATAGCAAAGTTAGGTATGAATCTCACTGGAACGGTGGTGCTGTGCACAGAAAATTACCTGCGTAGCAAACCATTCACCCTTAACTCAATAGTCTACTCTTACGCCACGATGTCACGTGATGGTCGGAGACTGATTGGCTGCTTTCAGACTTCGACGACTGGATTGGTGCCTGGCACGCAGGTAGAATCGTCGATATCTGAAAGCAGCCATTTTGAACGCATTTATAAATACCGACAATTCTTGAGGGATTTTTTTGATTGGTGCATCGCAAATAAAAGCGCTTTTGTCGGGTTTCCGCGAGGCTAAGATATAGAAGCAGTCGATTTAGTATTCACCAAACTAGCTTTAGTAGGCGAAGAAGCTGATGAAAATATGGTTGATGGAGCGAATGATTGTCGGTTCATTTGAATAATATCGCTGATTTCTTACCTGACTACGCAAAAACTTCTTCAATTTTCTGTTCCACCGTCACTTTTTGAGAGTTCGCACTAGTTGATATCTGATCCTCAAACTGATCCTCTGGCTGCTTCCATAGCCCGCCGGCGGACTATGAAAGCAGCCTCTCTCCACCCTAAGATTTCCGCGAGCGTGTTCCCACGCTTGATGGCGCGCAATCACGCACGGTGAAGGAGAAGAATTGGACCCGAGATGGAAGATTAAGGTAATCGCCGTTTATTTATCCTTTATATCTTCCAAAATTGAGTGGACGCAATGAAGGGCACGAAACAACAATGGCCGGAAAGTAGAAAGGTATTTTTGCCCAACTCCAGGTATTCAATGAATCTCCCATGATGCTGTAGTGGACCTCCCTACAGGAGTTCTCTCGGAATCGAGCCGGACAGTCGGGCATCACTCTACCTTTTCCTTTGAGGTCCTTGATCACGAATCACCATAGTGTGTGGAAATTTCGATCGAAATGGCCACGACAATGGCAAGCGACATAGCTTCGCGGCCATTGTTGTGGCCTTTCACTGGAAACTCAAAGGCATCTTTCATAGTCCACGACCGGTCGCTAGCGACTGGTCGCTCGACTGATCGCGCGGGACCGTCCACGGCGGCACCCATAACTAGCGCGGCCTCCTCGACCGATCGAGCGACCAGTGGCGCGATCA